ATGGCGAATGATCTGTCGCCATGGCAACGGCATTTGATGACACCCCATAATACGCTTAGATGTGTTGATGGCTGCATCATTACCAAAGCTGTGAAGTTTTGGGCCGTTTGGAGCATTTTCACTGAATTTATGAGAAAACCGTGTTTCATGGCGAGCATTGTGTTGCCATGGCAACGGCATTTGAAGAAATCTCAAAACTGTCCCGTAGATGTCTTCACGGCTGGACTGTTAGCACACGTGAAGTTTGAGCACTTTTTGAACATTTTCATAGGAGTTAATATATAGCGATATCGTCTTTTATGGCATGGAAACGGCATATGATGACACCCCATAATTGACGTAGAGCTGTTGAGGGCAGGACCATTAGCCTTTATCTGAAGTCTGCTGCTCTGAGCATGTCAGTTGGAGTGATGACATCATCATGTTCCATGACACAGGTGTTTATATTTGAGCTAACAAGGTGTCCAGAGATCAAAGGTTTCCATTGTTCTGAATGACAGATACACCTCTTACATGTGAACGTTTTGTCGAAGAACCGTAACAGATATCTGTGAAATTTCGAAACGTGAAGCATGTCAAGGAAGTTGAGTATCTGAATTGTTACCGGCACCAGACCTAGGGGTAATCTGGACAAGCAGCAAGGGTTACACAGGCTAAGGAGCACTGTGTAACCAACATATAAACAGTGTCTGTGGATTTGTAAAGAGAGGACAAAAGTGGCTATATCTCCCTAATGGATCCACAGCAGCGCCAGGGCGCCATTTACTGACGTTACAGTGTATTGTATAAATGTTAGTAGTTAGAAGTATGTTAGAAAGATTACATTATTAACAAAACATAGGGGGGGTGTCTGTTTACGTAAAACTTAGCATTTCCAACCTGCTACATATCCAATGGTGTTAAATGACTGATGTTTTATTTGACTTTTAGATTTTTTAGGTGGGGGTGAAGAGACCCTCGATACCACATTCTCTAATAAGATCAGATAAGATGGACCTTTATGGCTCCCCGTAGGGAAATTCAGGTGTTCACGCAGCAACAGAAGAGTTCACAGATGAATAATAAGAATAAATATGAGAGATGAAAAATAATAGTAAACATGTCACATTAGAAGGTATAATAATCCATATTATTAACAGCATACATGATCTTATGCACTTGCAACAACTCACATTTTTTCAAATTCATTACTTCTTCTTGGAAAATCATCTTTTCTGTTGCTGCTCATTCTCTCGCAGGGGACACAGCCCCCTGGTGTTCATTAGTAGCACTACAGAAACTAGAAAGCACATGTACTCAAGTACTGTGTTTAAGTACTATTTTGAGGTACTTACTTAATTGTGGTCTCACTTTGAACTTGCACCCGCTTCACTTCAGAGGGACATATTGCTCTTTCATCGAAGCATCATTTATCGAACAACTTTAGTTAGTCGTTACTTTAAAGATTAAGATTTTTGCACAGACACCATACAAAGAATTTGCCTATAAGAGCAATTAAAAATTATATTTGCATTAAAAAACAAACATCTCCTTTACACTTGTCACTTTGAGCACTGGGTTAGTTTTAATTTCTCAATATTTTCACTTTTTTTACAAACCTTAAAAAACTATATTTAAAAAGAATTACAGTTACATTTCTTCTGAATTGATTACTTTTGATACTTTCAGTACATTTTCCAGATGGAAAACGGAAACATCACATTTGCTTTTTGTTGTAAAAGCTATTGCAAAGCTAACTTCTGGGTCGACCTCCAAAAAGTAATTATCATTCAAAGGTCATCGCCTTATCTTTATTTATTTTGCTTCATGTGGTCTGTAGTAATTCACTCACCTACCCTCTGACCTAGTTTACATCTTAGATTTCTCCCACATGAGGATCGTCTGTTTCCTTTATTTATTGCTGTCTTTTTTCATTTTGTTTGTCCACCACTGATTTGCATATCTGAAAAAAAGCACGATACATTCTGAATAGAAAATGTTTTAATGTTGTTTTTACATTTTTACACACATATCACTGTAATGAGTCTTAAAGAGAAACTGATTATTTTACAAAATCTATAATTTCCTAAAAATGAACTTTAAAATCAACATAACATTTTATATTTCAAATGTAAAAGTAAAAAAATAGCTCTTTTGCAACATCTTACAAGTCATAGCTATATAAATGTTTAATTCACTTTTGTGTTGCCAACGCTTAACCCTAAATATACAATATCTGAAGTATCAAAAACAATATCAGAAGGTCTAACGTAAAAAAAACGACAGACTACTCTCCCTGAATGATGAGGCAGTGATAGGACTTACCAGCAATAAAACATAAATGTCAACTCTCTTGACAGGAACATTGATTTTACCGTGGTTAATATCAATGTGGAACACATTTGAAACCTGCAGATTCATTAAAAGATCCATCCACATGACCTGAACTCTCTGCATTCTGCCCAGACTCAACATTAGCATGTGGTATTGTAGCCTGAAATGTTACCTAGATGCACTTTCTTTCATTGAAGTAACAAAAGGAAAAACAAAACAAAACAACAACAGACTATACAGTCTTTGAACTTGGAAAATGAAATTGCCACACCTAAACATAACAAATAGATCAAGTTTATAAAATAAGTTTTACACGTACACGTTGAAGGAAAAAAACGTTTTGTAAATCAGAGCCCAACAAAACATATTTGTGAAGCTGTGCTGTTGCAGCGCTCTGTTGCTATGTGGAAGCCAACACTGAGATCTTGTCTGCGTCCGTCACTGCATTGTGAAGCTTGAAATGGTCCAGGAGCTTTTTCCAAGTCCGACCGCAGTTCAGCAGCTCCTGGTTCCCTTTGAGAGGACACATGGGAGTTAAGAAGCTTCAGAGGAGCTTTAGGGAGTACAATTAATTCATGAACAGCAGAAACTTGGACTGTACATTTTACATTTATATTTAATTTAATATGCCATTTTTAGTTCCAGTTTATATTTGATATGTGTTTAATTTCTAGTCTTTTTGATTTCTAATTATGTGCAATGCCTTGTTTTAACATGCTGCTGTAACGAAAACATTTCCCAACTCGGGATCAATAAAGTATATCTTAACTTATTTCTTATCTTATCTTTGACTTACCAATGATGCACAGTCCCTCCTTGGCCCTGGTGATGCCCACATTTATCTGGTTGGGATCGGCCACAAAGCCCAGATGTCTGGACAACCAACCTCCTTCAGGTTCTGCCTCAATCTCCTCGCTTGGCAGAGAGCACACTGTAGATATGATGACGTAGCTCCATTCACTTCCTAGAAGACAAATAAGACATGTTGAGCCATCAGTAAACAACAGAGGTTGTTGTTTGGTTTCTTCTGTCCAGCACTGATGAAGTCGTGGGATTGTCGTCTGCAAGCCCAAAACAGTCTCTATATATCAGAAAAAAGATCTGAATCTGTCCCTCTCAACTGAAATATATAATATTGTATACATTTGTCTGTGTTTACTAGCCAAAACGTTAGTTGGCTAAAAAAGTCTTTGTTGAGCAACTTTTAGTCTATTTAAGTCTGTAGTCTAATGAGAAATAAAATGCCTGTCCTTTCAGCCAGAATCCCCTCAGACTTCATAAGACCTATACTATATAATAATTCTGACCTCAGAAAACGATAAATTAAAGCTTTAATTCCACGATGTGGGCGTAATGTGCAGAGGTATTTGTGTGTGAGTGTTTCGGTTTGCTGTGTAGTGTTAATTTTCTTTGTTATATTTATTTTTAAATATAAAGAACGATATTAATTTTCACTTTTTTTTAAATAACCATTTGTTATTATTGCCGTTACATCTACACATCCACAGAGTTGTGTGTGTGATGGTGTAAGTCATGTTATACTGTGTTGAGAGAATAAATGAACTAAATGCTGAGTGTGTGTGCTCGATGCTTGTTCACACACACACACACACACACACACACACACACACACACACACACACAATAAGAATCATCTCTGTCCGTGCGCTGTCACTCACATGCGCTTTTCTCGTGTAATATGTAAATTATTCTCAATTATAAGGCTCATTATTACCATTTTATTTTATCTTTTATATTCATCACAACGTACTGTGATGTTACTAATAATATTGTTTCTCAGCCCTAAAAATAATAATCATAATACACAGTATCATAAACGTGGGATGACAAGTCGACTAATCTCCTGAATTGATGAAGACTGGTCGACCAGGAAAATCTTTAATATCCTAGGGCAGTCATAGTATTTATATTTTACACATTATGATTTAAATTTCAAATGTCAGATATGGCCATAAATTAAGAGACAGTGCTTCAAACAACCCATCAGGACAGGAAGTAGTTAGACCCATCGTTACCGGTTACACTCTACACAGTTAGTACCTTCTTCAGAATTGACTGGAATATCCTTCATTGGGGTTTAGCTACTAAAGGGACTCTCACCTTGGCTTTTAGTGATTGTGGTGGCGGTGATTCCATTCAATTTCTTTTTCTTCAGCCCATCTCGGATTTCTGACACTTGCGCGTTATAGGGGGACAGAATCACAATATTTTGCTGTTCGATATTGGCTTTAGTCACCAGCTTTTCAGCAATGTCAATCTGCAAAAGAAACCAGTAAAACAAAAATAAATAATGTTAACTATTACTATCAGGTGACTTTTACCCTTATATCTTTATATTGCTGTTTAAAATCAACAGGGAAACCGGGGGTGCCCAATACAGTACCACTTTGATTCTCTCTTCCTCGTTGGCTTTGGAGTTCTCGTTGCCCTTAGCTGTGTTGACCACCAGGCTGACGGTCTTTCCTCTGATGTCCCCAAAAACGATCGGCATCGTCTTATTGTCAACACGCAGGACGCTGCTCGGCTGCTCCACTCCGGTTAACAGATTCCCCTCGTAAAATTCTCGCGACGGGAACTCACATATTTCCTTATGCTATAAAGGCACATAATTGCTAGTTGGTGATTGCCACTTATAACACAAAAACTCCAGTTGGGTAATAAAGCAGTAAGTGCATATAGTTAGCGTCAGTTATGGTGATTTTTCAACAGCTAGGGGACATTGTTAGGGATGGGGCTAATACTAAACTAACTACAACTGTATTAAATAAGTCACCTCATGTGATAAGTGGATGAAGACATGGACAGGGTAAAAGAGGACGCAAAAGATATAAAGTTATCCTGGGAAAATATATTATCCTCTACAGTAGGGGGCGTATGCACCTTATTAATAATAATGATTGCAACCTAAATCATAAAACCAAAAATAGAAGAGAAAGAGGAAGCTAAAAACTGTCTAGGTTATGGTCGTATTGTCAGTTTAGTTTAGGAAGGTTCCTGACGGAGTGACATGACCCGGAAGTACCTCCGTGGCAGCCATGATAAGAGCTGTTTGAATTCTCTCGATGATAGGAAAGGAGCTTTGAAACTTATAGATGTGAAGGCCTAAAAAGTTTTTATAAATAAAATTGTATTGATTTTAAAATACTTTCAAACAATCATGTGGATGATTACGTGTGAACAAGTTTCACTTTACTTTTTTTTTTTAATTCCAAACTAATGAAGAATATATTTTTCACTGTTGTCCACGTTCATAAAGCCTGCATAAAACAAGACCATACGAACGCACGGTGCAAAGTATCTATGTGCGCTGACAGTAGTCCACTGTACGGCATATTGTGGTTTGCCCATGGCAGACGCACATTAATAACTGCTGGTGGGCATACATATGTTGGTTATAATGTAACTGCAACAAGATTAGAAGTTTTCTTTCTCATAATGTTAGGGTGATTGGAGGTCTTGCATGTTGTTCAGGGTGTGTTGCTTGGTGCTAACTATTTTTTCTGGTGGAAACATTCTTATTTTCAACCAATGGATGAATGATTTTTGTGGTGCTGTGTGTATTTGTACTTCCCATGTACAGTATTGGTGTTTATAAATGTTCTCACCATCCTGTACTGGGTGTCCAGCATCACAGCGCTCTTCTTATGCATCGTATGGTAACGTTCAAACAGAGACTTGGCCATCCCCAGCCTCCTCACATGCACATTCTTCACAATGGGTCGTAACTGTTTATGGTCCCCGATCAAAACAATCTGAAAGAGAAGATCTGACAGTGAATAACTAGTGTCACGAAATTGAAAGGCTTGGGGCTGAGGGGGGCACGAGTGTGCTCAAATCTGTGCAAAGAGGAATACCTGGTGGGGGAACTAGAGTGTATGTATGTGTATGTATATATACAATATATATGTGTATTTGTGTATGTATATATAATATAGGTAAATGTGTATGTATACATATGTATTGTAAAACCCCATAACCTGAGTCTAAGCTTCAGCCTTATATTATATATATGATATTATTCCGTTTGTTTCAATCTGCCCTGGTAGTTTGTCATTTTGTTTGTGAAGTGAGACACATTGTCTTTTGACATGTAATTTAAGGGCAGTTTCATGAATTAAGGCCACATTCATCATGATCATACATACAGCATTAAGGACAGTGTAAGCAGAGAGCCAGAGCAGAATCATTATTGTTATATGTAAATGAAAACCCACCTTCTCTGGCCGGTTGCAGACTAATGGAATCAGGGCCTGGGGTTCAGTGGCCATTGCACATTCATCAATGAGGATCTGCCGTGCACTGACGGTCTTAGTCAGATTCGGGGTGGAAGACTGTGAGCATGTACACAGTATGATGTCATGCCGTTCAAACTCATATTTCCGAGCCTTTACGAGAAGTTTTTTGTATCTTGGATGGAAAATAATAGATAGACTTAGTGCATTGCTACTCTGTTTTGAATCATTTTCCCTCAGATACAGTACAAGGTATTCATTTTAATGTTTACATTTTTTTACGATTATCAATTTCTTCTGATAGTCATCTTAATGTGCTTTTGAGCTAATGCAACTAAATATGAGAACTTTTTTTTGCATAAAGTAAAGCGTAGTAACCCAACATGTACAATTCACCAAAAGGTCAGATTTAGTTAAAACTAGAAAAAAATAGCATTCAGGAATCCCTTCTTCATTAACTCTAAGGTGACATTTTAGTTAAACTAATCTTCATCTGAACTTACTCTTTCACTTCTATAGGAGTCAGCTTTTTTCCTTTTTCCAGGGCAAGTTTAATGCGTAGATCAAAATCTTTTATTTGACCTGAAGAAGGGTTAGTGTCCTCCCGCATGCGGTGATGCAGAGTGATGCTCCTAGAACCATATAAATATGCCATTGTTAGTCAATAGTAATAGATTCTTTTTGTAAAATGTTTTGGTATGATTACAATACCTGAGCTCTGGTTTGGCACGCTCTTGGCGGATTGACCTCCGGGAAAACTGCAGAGCGCAGTCTGGATAGGGGTAATCAAGCATCTCCACGTGTTGGCTGTAGAACCTGAGGGGCCGTAGTCTGTCCCCAAACCTCAGTAGGTACTCTGTGTAACAGTAGAAAAAACATGGCTCAAGTTAACAGAAAATGTTTGCTGAAAAATCAGCAGAGAAACAAAGGAACTTGCCTGCAACAACATCAACAGACTTGTTGGATGGGCCGCAGTAGAGAATAACTTGTTTCTTGTTCTCATCCCTTGGGTCAACATCAGTCCGTGGGCTCTTAGCGTTCAGCTCAAAGAAACCGAACACTATCTTCACACCAACGACTGTCTTTCCCGTCCCTAAGAGACAAATGAGAAAATGGCTTAACACTTTACAGAAAATATGAAGCGTCAGGGTGAGTATCAGTTCCAGCTCTTACCAGGTGGTCCCTGTATAATTGTGAAGGTATTATTTAGAGCTTTCTCCACAGCAAGATGCTGACTCTGGTTAAACTGCGTTAGTCCATACGGTAGCTCTTTCCTCTGGTGGTTCCACATTGGTTTTACTGCAAAGACAACATTATGAGTATGTAAGTCGCTTTGGATAAAAGCGTCTAACAAGTGACATGTAATGTAATGAATTGTTTTTAGCAAGCACGAGTGAAGCTACTGAATTATACTTTTTCGAAAAGTATATTGTGTGTTCAGTTTATTTATTCTAATGGTTGACTTGAGACAAATAGTTAAAGTCTATGCAACTATGTACTGCTGACTCATGGACATACCCTCTTTTGGAATGTGTTTTCCAAGTGCTATAGCCTTGACAAGGTCACATGCATACGGAATGTTTTCCACAGCCTCTTCTTTCCGGCTACAAAAGGAAAACATAAAAATGTATGTCAGCAGTTCAATCTAAAGCTGAAGAAATTGTCAAACAACATATAGCCTGAATGTCAATGCAAGACAAAAACAGATGAAAAGCCAAACTCTAAGCCATGTTACACAGGTAAAGTCAAAGGGAAATACACTTACATTTCAGGCAGAGACTTTGGGATTATTTCAACTGTGAAATAAGTGTTTTTCTGAAAGACACAATCAGGAATGTTCTCCATCGGCAGGTGATGGACATAGAACTCCACCTCACTTCCTTCATTTGGAGGTTTTTTTTGTTCTGCTTTTACTGTGACACCGTGGGCCACCCATGTGAACACTTTTGGGTCCGCCAGAGCAGAATGTTCCGGGGTTGAAGGTAGCGTCAAACCTCTTTTCCGTATGCACAGTAAGCACTTTGAAAGGTTACATTCAATGGCCCATTTAGTGATAGATGCAATAGGTAAGAAGAAGCTTCCTGTTAGGCGACGTTCCTGCTTTTGACAGAAGTTTACCACCAGGTTCTCAATGACTATGCTGTCACTGTCATCCACTGCAGTGGAAGCAGATTCCATTTTACATAACGGTTTCCAGATCTGTACATACTCATTGGTGTCTCTATACAAGATTTTTGATGGTTCCTCTGCATATTTGGCGAAGCATGTGATAGCGCTGTGCACATGGTCCACACAGATCTCAAACCTTGGTTTAATGCGCACCAGCTGAACAGCAGGCGAGTTGTAACCTCTTCTTACCTCAGTGGTCATTTGGATCTGAAGGGTGTCCCCTCTCTGCAAACGCAAATGGATGTCGACCTCATGCTCCCTTTGTTCCTCCTGCTCCTCAGAGTCACATGACTTTGATTTGGGAGCTGGCATTTCAGAAGATTGTGGCAGAATAATTTGTTTTTCCTGCTGCTTAGTATTAGCTTCCATTGTGAGAGACTTTGCATGATCCCAGTTTCCTTGGTCAATTGCTTCAACAGTGGCTTTCCATGTTGCCAGTGGAAGCTCAACGCAAGGACCATAGTCTGTCATTTGCAACTCTTGGTGGATTTGCATGTTGTCAACTGCATAGACCCGCCTTTTCCATGTAAGAGTGATGCAGTCATTTTCTTCATCAAAAATGGGTTGGTCACACAATTGTAAATCCTTGAACATAACTGATACACTTTCTCTAAATATGTTCTTGTTAAAAGGAAATGCCACTGGAACACTGTCTCTGTTGGGACTCCCAACAAAGGCTAGCTTTGAAGCACTTTGTTTTTTCATGCTCACTGCATAGGAGATCTGCTCTGCCTTTTGTTCATACTCCTTGGCATTCTTGACGTTGTCCTCAAATTGACTACACAAAGTTGCAATCTCAGGAGTAGTGTATTGCGCTCTCCGGTCATGTATGATGGAATGCAAAAGTCTCTGCGAGATGAGGTCCATGTACCGCCGTATTGGGGAGGTTGCTTGTGTGTAAGAATCTACGTTCAGAGAATAATGCCTAAACACTTCTCTGGAGTAGGAGCTGGAACATATGACTTTAGCTTTACAAAAACATTTTCTGAACTGATCAACAACTGGTTGGAGAGGAGGATGGATGTCATCTGCCGCTATAAGGTCCACCATTTTGTCAATATCATCTGCTCTGGCAGCTGACTGGATATCTTCCCACACTTCTGTCAGTATGCGGATGTTTTCACAGTTTGAGGGTTGTTCGCCAACTTCGTCAACTCCTTCAACTTTGTGCCGCACATGAAAGGATAGAGGAATTAGTTCTCCGCATTTCGCCTTGAAATCTTCTATCTTTTCACAATCAGGTTTTGACTGACAGCGAAGGGGTGTGCAATCCAAGGTTTTCTTTGAGTCAATCAAATCCTTTGATGCAAGTGTATTAAATAACACACTCAGCTCTTCAACCATCATATTGGCTTTACGCTTTCCTGGCAATCTCTTATCATCAGGTTGAGAATAAGCCCAATCTGAGCCCAGTCTGTCCTTCCTTCGAGCTTTTGCAAAACGATAAGCCACTGTGACACAGTCTTCTACAGAGTCAAATGCAGGTCCCTCTCTGTACCGGTCAGTGATTATGGCCTCTGCCTCGTCATAAGACAACTGCCTGTTAGACTTGATCCCTGACAGCTGGAGTTTGTGCTTTCCAATGATCTCATTTGTTTTCTTGTTTACTTTGAACATTAATGATACCACCCTGCATTGTTTGCCATCTGACAGAAGACTGAAGGTTCCAGTGCTTAACTCTTTGGGGAACATGTGCACAGGGTCTACACTGCTGCTGTAATATGTAGCACCACGTTGTTCTGCCTCCTTGTCCAATTCACAACCTGGGATCACAAAGCTGGCCACATCTGCAATGTGGACTCCCAACTCATACTCATGCTCTCCAATATCCCTAACGCTGATGGCGTCGTCCAAGTCTTTTGCTTCTTTGGGGTCAACCGTGAAAGTGATCATATGGCTTAAGTCCTCTCTGTGTGTCCCGTCTTCATCTTGTGAGAAGAGACCCTCGTCTGGATTACATGTATTGGGTTCAACTTTGAATTCTTCATTCAGGATCCGTAGACCGTCAACCAAAGAACTTCCAATAGGAAGAATATCTATGACGTTCCCTAATGGAATATGACAATTTTCTTTCCATCCAATTATTTGCACCACAAATACATTGTTCTGTTTGAGCTTTTCATCAAGATGTTCAAATGCTGCAGTCGTCCACTGACCATTCATTTTCTCCCATATTGGAATGCAGTTACGTTTTCTCTTGCTGATCAGTATGCGTATTTTAGGGGCAGATTTTGCAATGGGTATCATCGTTCTTTTGATAAATGTTTCTTCAGAATTTTGTCTTGGTTTGCTGTGATCCTCATCCTCAAGCAGACACACAAGAACGCGGGCTGATTCAGATTGCTTGGTGATGCTGATCACCTTCGCTGTTTGTAAGACCACTTCGTCTCCAGTGAAGGTCTTACCCATGTTATCTCTTCCTTTGATGCGTATTCTTGAGGTGGGGTTGTCAAATGGTACAACATAACCTTTGTTATATGACTCCCTGAACAACTTTCCGTGCTTGTACATCCCTGGATATTTCAAAAGATCTGCATCAACATCACTGATATTGTATGATGATCTTGACCTATGGTTGTTGAAGTCTTTACATTTCCACTTGTCCTCATCCAAATTGTGTTCTTTTTTCAGGAGTTCATAGTCATCTTTCAACTCTTGAAGAATTGCATCACTGAGAGGGCTGCCCTCATCAACATGTTCAGGCTTCTGAAACCTTGTAGTTTCCATGACATCTTTCATGAAGAAATCCATGGTGAAATGCTTTGGTGTGACACTGTTGTTGCTGATGCAATGATCTATGTAGCTCTTCCAGACCTTCGAGCAGTTCCCAAAGCAACAGAGGGCAGCAGCATCTCCAACCACAACCACCTGGGACTGAGCTCTGGTCATTGCAGTGTTCAACACACGCACATCATTGAACAGCTCCAGACCAGGTAGGTGAGATGTTTTCAGGCTGTCACGTGTTTGCACAGCTGTCATTATGACTGCCCTGAACTGTTTACCTGTAAACACATGAACACAATGTGTTTTCTGTTAAATGAGAATGATATGGAAAGGGTAATATAAATATATACGGTATATAATAACGGTCAAACAGGTGTGCAGGGTTGGCACAACCAATGTCTAACAAAAAAGGATAATCATCCAGGAGTTCTTAAAGCGAAACTAAATTACCTTGGACATTTGCAAGATTCTCAACATGGACTTCATTGAGGCCTCTTTTTGAAAGTGCTTTCCTTATTTGCCAGACCTATGAATCACATGAAAAAAGTCAGATAATTAAATTATTACAACTCGACGAAAAAAGACATTTAGATATTACTTGATGCAGAAGTCTTTGATAAATATTTTATATAAACAATATATTCATCTCAATCTTAAAAGTTACCTGACATCCGTCTGATAGAATGCAGATTGAGCTTGGGTCCTTGGGCCCCCATGTCAATGGCCACTGTTCGAGAACCTCTTTCACTGCTTCAGCCACTTTGACAACTTCTTCTTTGTTACACCAAGACATAGACCCAGTGTCCAAGAGACATGCTCCCCTGACATGGTGAAACTTTAAGGCATTGCCATTTGCAGGAGGCGGAACATTTCCTTTAGCTTTGATAAAGTCATTCTTACCGACGTAGAAATTGGTGGACACAAACTCCACAATCTCTTTGGTTGAGCGGTAGTTTTCACTGAAAATGATTCTACTATTCTGGGCAGCATCACACTTTTGGCCTTGATAGTAGTGGAAGAGGCGATTAAGGAGTGTGTGATTTGAACGGTGATGATCATCAACTGAGAAAAGCTTGGGTCCCATTTGCATGTGATCTCCAGCCAAAACAACTCTGGTTTGTGGACCAGCAAGGCCAAGGGCCATCAAGGCTTCACATTCAAGCATCTGAGAGGCTTCATCAATCAGTATGTGGGTAAAATATCCCTCTGGGAGATTTAGGTCATGGAAATGTCTTGCCATTGTTGTGGTTGTTATAACTATTTTGTGGCGATCAAGAGCAGCTTTTGTAGGTGGTAAAAAAGACTGTTTGTCTTCCGACAGCAAGCAGTATTTCAAAGTGATCTCATCCGTGGCAAACAAAGCTTTCCCTTGTTTGTTCACTTTTATTCGAATTGGTCTCGTTCCATCATCTTTCTTGTTGATGAATGGATCGAAGTGATCTCTGACGTACAGATCTGCAGAACTGAAAGGAAAAAAAAGTTAATGTTGGTGCTATTTTTTAAAAACATACTTTAGACAGTACAGCTTAGAGCAATGAGCATGACTCGATTAACACTTTGAAAGTAATAAAAGGTCCACAAAAAAATCTGTTTTAATGTATCAAGGAATCAGTATATTATTAAAACATTTAGAATAATTGTCGTTACCTGTTGGTGTGGGTGCAAATAAGCACTTTGTTGTGAGGCAGCTTACACAGCTCTCGGGCTGCTAAAGCAAGGGTGAATGTTTTCCCAGTTCCAAATGGCCCGTAGATGAGGAGTGGTGCTGAATATTTCTGGACATTGGAGCTTCCTGTGATAAAGTCAACTGCTGACTGCTGCTTTGGGTTGAGCTTCTCATGTTTGATGTTATTCACAGGAACTCCACAGTGTTTAAGGTCTGGCAGCACTCTTTTTGTATCAGGAAGGAGGTCTACGGCCTTGTGCATGGTGCAGAAGCTGTGGCGATTGAGCTGGAACTGCACCTCCATTTGATACGACTCATTGCTTCTGAGTGTAAGATCAGAGCAACACTTCTTAGACAGTTGCAAATACATGGTGTTCTCACTTGTTTTGTCTTTCAGTATGCTGGCTTCATAGACCTTGGAGCTTTGACTACTTTCAGATAAAGGGGCTATCAGGGCAGACTGGATGCTGCGTTTCAGTGCCAGTCCCTCAGGGGTGTCTGGAGTGAGCTTACAAGGAATGGAGACAGCACAGAACAGTTCTCCCCGAGGAGCCATCATCATGCCAAACTGTGTACTGTTCAACGTCCCCAATGTTGTAATTCCTCCACAAACATTTAACCTAAAGAAAATCAGAAAACAAGCTTAGAATTTGTAAATAGTTGCAAAATCCCAACATGATAAAGGGAACTCTCTACAGGAAAGCACATTACCTTGAAACAATCTGGTCCTCTGCCTGTTCCTCATCGTACAGGAACTGGTGCATTCTTTCTTTGTAGTTGTCACTGTTCAGAGGTGTTTGGCTGCTGTAGGAGGATTTATACAGAAAGCTAATCGGAGGAGGCTTGTACTTCTTTAACAGTTTCTCCTGTTCTTCTGTCCTGGACGAACATGGGATGATAACCCGGTTTCCTCGATGCCAGCGCTCAGCACTTTGAAAGGTGTATCCAAACGTCACTGTTGGTTGTACAACGTCATCCAATGAAAGCTTGCCTACTCTAACCCGGAGTTTTTTCAAGAGCACTGGTCTCATGTCAAAATCTAGCACTAACCACTGGTCGTACAGGCCTGGGTTGATGGATGTGAAAGACACTGTGATGTCATAGGTCATGTCGTCAGTGAGAAAGGGTTCACCGGGGGAGTAGATGCAGGGCACTGAGCTGATGTCGCCGAGCGTATAGGAAGCTCCTGGTTCTTGCTTTAGCAGCGCCACGTGCACAAGCTGTCTCTGTACATACAGAAAGTGGCTAGTAAGCAAACCATGAACAACATTTCTCAGACATGAAGGAATACACATTTCTATAGGATAACGATTATGTGAATACTACAAAGATACTAAGAAGAGTAACTAGGGTAATAGTTTAACACAGAATTCTGATTAAGGGCTTTTTATATATTACATTGTATAGCTATAGCTCAAAATGGGCTATCGTTACTGATAATTAGTTTTCAACTGGACCACAAGGTTTAGATTTAGAGATATACTATATAGAGATTTCAATGTAAACTGGAACTATCCTGTTCCACTCATACACCTTTTATTCCAAGCCCATTACTGCATTCCAATGATCACTGCTATCTCAGTGTCATTCAGGAATATACACTGTTTTTTATGGCGGTTAGTTAATTATTCATCGTGATAATTCACATATTAATAATAACATGCAACTAATTATTTTCCACAGTGCACACACACGCACACACACTACAGCAAATGTGTAAAGGGCACAAAAACACAGTTTGCTGTGTCTGTATGAAGTACTCTGAAATGACAAATTCAGCAGCAGACATTTCCCATAGGAAAACAAAACCAACCTCAATGCATTGAAAAACATGGTAAACATCTGACCTCTGTTTCAACTTGGAAGTTCCATCGCAGTGTTTCATTGATCTGCTCACACTCCACAGTTACATCTCCGTCACAAGAGATGCTGACATCGTTGACTTGCTCTGATAACTGTAACGTTCGAGATGGTGAATAAAAAATATGGTATTTAAGGAACTGAGAATATATAGTAATGTATACAAAACATGTATGTAGTGAACTATCTAATTGCATTTCTTATTTCCTAAGTCACTCATTTGTACAACTGTTTGTTGTAACTGGAGGAAGTCTAGGCATCTCTGTTCCTGAAATGAAAGGGAGCATTCTACAGTGGTGCGAGTCCTGGGGAAGCACACATCACTATAATTACATTATACCCTTAGATCACTGTCTGTGGCAGGTCTATATATACCCATAATGCACCAGGTTCGAATTCAGTAAAGCACCAGACACCGACTGCGTATGACCTGTGTTATCTCTCCCTTAGCGTTTGAAGGAGACGCCTAATCCTGTCCAGTTTATTTCTGTGTTGTGTCTTATGTGCAAAAGTACAACAGTCTGGCAGTCTGTATGAATGCATTAAAGGCTGGATTTAGAGACTTTTAGATGCCGGAACAAATCTGAACAGAATTAGATAATGTGTAAAATACTTATACTCACTATGTGTACTTCATTACTGCTGTTTTTGTATTCCTCCAGCAGCTCCAGGTTATAGTTCATGAGACCCTGGGCTCCGATGCTCTGTCTGATCTCCTTCTCCTCTGCAGCTCGCATCAGCCACTCCTTCAGCTCCTCCTCAGAGTGAGCTTTGGGGCACTTGCTGCCGTACTCACATGTTTGTGGTCTAGGATGAAATTTACTTTTTAATCGTGCTATAAAAAGAATATGGCTATATTTTGCACATTTTTCTCAGGAGGTTTATACTAATGTGAATTATAGTTACTTATGTTTTACTATTACTACTACCACTACTACTACTACTACTACTACTACTACCTCTACTACTACTACTACTACTACTACTACCTCTACTACTACTACTACTACTACTACCTACTACTACTACTACTACTACTACTACTACTACTACTACCTACTACTACTACTACTACTACTACTACTAATACTACTACTACTACTACTACTACTTATGTTTTAAATGCCTGAATTAAAAAATAAATCAAACCAAGGCAGCAGAGATAGATCATCCTGCTCAAAAGGACAAGTATTTAGATTTTTGCCTGAACTGAATGAAGTACTTTTAATAAGTGAATGTTCCATGCCATATTGAAATCAAATCACAACACAGAGAGTGTGTGCAATACTATAGTGAGCTTATACTGTTTGGGATGGTTGATTTGATGTGATTGGTATAGAATATAGAAGATCATTGTCGCAACCTTTTAACAGGATAAAACAGACACAAGTGGGAAAGCCCCAAAAAACGATAAATAGTTTTGGTAATGTAAGGCATTTTTGATAAAACAAATGAGTTCTGATTGTTTAACACAACCTGACATTTCGTAAGAAAAACAAGTGTAATGTGAACAGTTGTATGCCTCAGATGATCATTTACACATGTGTATTACAGCTTACAGATCACAGTGTACAAAAACATTTAGTTCCCGGTATCTGGAACTGAACTATATAGTATTTACTTTATGATCAAAACTCTTGCCAAAATCTTGTCAAGATCTAGAAATAATTTTACACTCATTTCCACATTTGTGGGTTACTACACACTCCAGAAACTAAAGTTGACATGTGTCTCTTTTTTTCCAGCATAAAAGAAGTACAGAACAACAACAAAAAAGGAAAATAAAAAAAGAGAAAATAAATACAACAAACACACCAGACATGACAGGAATACTAACAAATCATATATAATATCAAAATAATAATAATTAAAAAAAACATAGGTTAAGAAATACAAAACTAATAATCATAAAAAGTTGTGTAAATATATATGATTCAACCTAAATAAAAACGATTAGAAAATAAAATCATATTAAAAAAAAACTCAAGGTGCAAATAAACCCAGACTACCCCGCCTCCCCTCAGTGACACCCCTGATCTACCATGTGTTTGTTTACCTCTCGCAGAGCCAGAACTCAGCCCGGTGGTTGTGTGGGGGCTGCCGGCCCCTCCACCTGGTGGTGGTGTCCTCAGAGAGCAGCTGGGCGTGCTCCAGAGAGGAGCAGTGCTCGAAGAAGCTCTCTGGGGAGGAGAGCACCAGCAGGCACACTCTGCAGTACATGGAGACCGGCCGCTGCTCCACCTGCCGCTGCTCCGCCTGCCGCTGCTCCGCCTGCCGCTGCTCCGCCTGCCGCTGCTCCGCCTGCCGCTGCTCCGTCAGCTGCTCTGTTAGCTGCTCCGTCAGCTGCTGCTCCGTCAGCTGCTCCGTCAGCTGCTGCTCCGTCAGCTGCTCCGTCAGCTGCTGCTCCGTCAGCTGCTGCTCCGTCAGCTGCTCCTTCAGCCGCTGCTCCGCCTGCTGCTGCCGGCTCAGCTGCAGGACATAAGGTCGCACGGAGACCCCGCCGTGCTCTACCCTCCACACGGCCATCTCCACCTCGCTGTGCGCAGCCTGGCAGCGGCCCACCTGGTGCCAGCAGGGCTTCCCCTCCGTCACATGACTGCAGAACTCAAAGTGACAGTTCTGGGGGAGAGGGCGCACCTGGCTGTAGACGTGCTTCCTCTTATTCTCTGACAGGTGATGAACTAGGACTGGGTCCCAGGGGTGCGCTGCATCTGCTGAGCAAGAGGGAGTCCATCTCTTGGTTGTTAGTTGTTGTGGCTTGTCATTGAAGCAGCGTTTGCAGAGCTCGATGAATTCACCTGGAAACTGCTGGAGAATGCTTTCAGCTGTACTCTCCGGTGTGATCGAAATCGGTTCAGACTCAACTACAAGTCGGATGAACTCCTCTCTACCAATGCGTTTGTCCTTCACATAGTTCCACAGAGTGGCCTCCTCATCGCTTCTGGCATAGGTGCACGTCTGCCCGTGCTTTGTGCACCCAGAGCCCTCCACAAAGAACTGACACACTTGGTAAAATACGTTTCGACCACATGTAGGCCGCTCAGAGACAGGCCTCCAGAGGTCACAGGCTTTGTCTTTGGCTAAAAGAAGATTTCTACTGCACTTGTGACTCACTGACTGAACTGTGTATGATATTTCGTTCTCTTTGACAGAACACAGATCACACACAGCCTTCAGATCTAGAGCTGGCAGGTCCCTCAGAGACTCAGAGTCCGCTCCTCCCTCAGACTGAGCTACAAGGTTACAGAGCGACACATGGTTGATCCTGTGACACTTTTCAAATGTCCAAACATCAGCTTCCTCATCACTTCTGGCAAAGGTGCACCGATTCTTGTGGTACGAGCAGCCTTGACCCTCCTTAAAGAAGTAACACACCTCATACCGAACGGGATTAGGAAACGTGGGCCTCTTTGACACAGGCCTCCATTTGCTGCCACATTTGGCTCTGCAGAGCAGGAGGTTGCGTGCACACTGGTGTTGAACTGGTTTTAACCTGTAGGTAATTTCTTTCTCCTCGACAGAGCATTTAGTGCATACAAGTTTGAGGTCATATTTTGGTGTAAGAGGAGCAAGGTTGGCGGCTGACATGGTGATACGCTGAGTCACCAGCTGCAGTCAACACACCTTGCACATTGTAGAAATATGCCCAGAGTTTAAGCAATTTCTATGTTTTCATTTGTGTTGCATTCAGTCACAATAGACCTGATTAACAAAGCCACTAACGGGCCTCTGAGAGAATGAGGGAGGATTCACTTCATAAATGTCAAACCGAAGGCCAAAGTGAAGAAATGTGGAGCTGAGCTGGAATATGTCTGAAAAAAAACAGAAGAGAATGCATGATGCATGATGAGAATCATGAGCATGATGAGAAGAGCGCTCAATGTCTTCAATTCAATTCAGAAAGCCATTTAGTCACGTATATTTCCGGCAAATATTATAGTTTGTTTATCTGCTGAATCATTTAAATAGTCTGGCTTTCACATTTAAAGTCTAGACACCAATGAACGAAACAAATCTAGTTTACTTTTCTTGGCATTTGCAATGTGATCTGAATTCTGATAACAATATGGGCCAGACCTTCCCATTGCTCCGATCCAAAGAGTTGCATGGCTGTCCTCCTGATAGGATATCTGTACAGGTTTACACCAGGTGTAAATGGGGTCACACATATTTGTTTTTATCCATTGAGGAAAATAGATAGAAGGCTTATTGTTTTTTAACAGATAAATGATACAGACAAGGTAGAGGAAAACAATAGGCAACAGGTCAGAATGCAGCTTATAATGCAGAGAGCCTTCCTGTGGGGTACTCTATCATCCTGGTCAAAGATAAACATAAAATATATATTATGTATTTACACTACTTTAAAGTGTTGTTATCACTTTAAAGTAGTGTAAATACATAATATATTTTTTTATTCTAGGAACACATATTATTTTGTATTATTAATCCTATTTAACAGCACTATATTATTAGCAGCAGTGATATAATGTTAATAAGTACATTTACTCAATTATTGTTTTTATTTTATGCTACTTTATACTTTTACTCCACTATATTTTTTGAGCATTTAAGTTACATATTTATTTCCTGGTTGCTTTGCAGATGTAGGTTCTTAATACAAAATATAAATCAACTAATACATTATCCTATATTATGAAATGTCCAGCTACCTAGTTGTAGATGGAGTCATTCAAATAAACCCCACTTTTACTGAAGTGATAACACATAAATGCACCAATCATTTTGATAAAGTAATTTAAAACATAGAGTGCTTAAATTGGCCATTCTGCATGGTGAGTACTGTTACTTTTGGTACTTGAAGTATATTTTGATGCTGACAATCTTGTACTTTTACTTAAGTACTGTTTAAATGTAGTACTTTCACTTGTAACAGAGTATTTTTATACTTTAGCTTTGCTACTTTGACTAGGTGGGAAGTAACTAAGTACATTTACTCAAGTACAATTTTGAGGGCCCTACCTCAAATATATAGTATTTCCATTTTATGCTACTTCATTCTTCTACCCGACTACGATTCATATGGAGCTATTTCAGGGTCATACGTTTTGATCATTCAAAAAAATGCAATTTATTTGAAAGTTCAAGTTTTTATCCTGCACTTTGAAAAATACTGTATGTATTCAAAAATAAAAATAATTATTTGAAATCATTTTTCAGGTTAAATATTATTTTTCATTCAGTTCAGCAATTTTTTTGAATAAAAAATTTATTTTCAGATTTCACTTTTATACATATTTTGATTTTTGAATCCTTATTTTTTTCAGTACACATTTTTATCGTTTTCTGATTCAAGACACACATTTTTTCAGTTTCAAATCTTGTTTTTTCTGGTTTCACATTGCTTTTCACCTTCAAATCGTTTTTCGCTTTCAGATCTTTTTTTTTACTTTTAGATCTTTTTTTTTGCTTTCAAACTTCTGGCCCTGATGTTGCTTGGGGGGGCGGGGCTTAGCAAAGAGTAGTTTGGCATCCTGACTGACAGGCCTCCCTCTGTCATGTTGCCTTCATTGATGTTAGGTAGCACGAGAATTATAACTCAATACTTTCTATACACGATACTCCCGTAATAGGTGGGAAATAAAACTGATAACAGCGTCAAAGTTCCGTTAAGCGAGCTGTTGAGCATCGTAGTTGGCAACAATCAAGGTATAAGCGCAATAAACTGTGCTAGAATGTGAAATTACGTGTCCGCAAAGAGCCAGCAGGTTGTTCTGGTGGACCTGACGCCATCCCCCGCTGTCTCACGGAGAGATACCGCAGGTCCTTCCTTCCTGCAGCGGTCAGACTATACAACCAGCACAGCCTCTAGACCCCGCACAAAACAACACAGACTATAACACCTCTTGTTGATAAATACCAACTATGTGCAATATTTGCAATATGTGCAATATATATATGCCGTTAAAAACGGTGCTGCTAAATCCGCAGAACTGTTACAGGGTGTGTATTATGTAAAATGTGTAACTTTAAAAATATATATAATTTCTTTTTTTAATCTTTAATACTTTTTTCATGCATGCTTTAGGTAGCATTAAGCTGTCTTTGACTCTTCTCTGCTGTAAAAATGTAAATGTATCCCCTGTGGGAATAATAAAGGTAATCTGATTCTGATTCTGATTGCAAAAACCAAGCCAATACTATGCTGCGTTCATTGAGCTACGTGGAAGTGGGGAAGGACAATGCTTGATTGCGGATACGTAATTTCACATTCTAGCACAGTTTATTGCTCTTATACCTTGATTGTTGCCAATTACGATGCTCAACAGCTTGCTTAACGGAACTTTGACGCTGGTATCAGTTTACCACCAATCACGGGAGTATTGTGTATAGAAAGTATTGAGTTATATTTCTCAGGCAACATGACAGAGGGAGGCCTGCCACCTATGCCTGCCACTCAGGATGCCAAACTATTCTTTGCTATGCCCCGCCCCCCCACGCAACATCAGGGCCAAAAGTCTGAAAGAGAAAAAAAAGATCTGAAAGCGAAAAAAAAAGTCTGAAAGTGAAAAACGATTTGAAGGTGAAAAGCAATGTGAAACCTGAAAAAACAAGATTTGAAACTGAAAAAATAATAGTTTTGAATCTGAAAACGAAAAATCTGCAACTGAAAAAAATAAGGATTCAAATATGAAAAATATGTATAAAAGTGAAATCTGAAAATAAATATTTTATTCAAAAAAAATTGCTGAACTGAATCAAAAATAATATTCAACCTGAAAAATGATTTCAAATACTTATTTTTATTTTGAATACATCATAGTATTTTTCAAAGTTCAGGATAAAAACTTGAACTTTCAAATAAATTGCATTTTTTTGAATGATCAAAACCTATGACCCTGAAATAGCTCAATAGATTCAGAGGTAAATGTTGTACTTTTACTCCACTACATGTATTTAATACCTTTAGTTACTTTACAGATGTGGATGTGTGAAATCTAATCACGTGTTAAATCAGACTTTAGTTCCACCTGGAGTCAATCCACAAGCTGCCCTGCAGTATACAAAGTCATTCAAACTAGCTGCACCTTTACCAGCTTTGAGAACACTTTAATGATCAATCATTATAAAACATATCATATATTATTCTGAAATGGACCAATCTGCACAATGGCTACTTTTACTGTTGGAATTTTGAGTATAATTTGATGCGGATATTGTTCTACTTTTACTTTACATTTTGAATGCAGGAATTTTATTCTAACCGAGTATTCCTACACTCTGGTACTACTTTGACTTAAGTACAAGGTCTGGCCGGGTACTTCTACTGTTACTCCCTCGTCTGATGATTCTGCCTCCAAATGTCAGCAGGTGCCTCTGCATGGAGCTTCCAGCGTCAGCCCACCAGAGGGCGCAGCTGAGCATGTTCCTGGTGCAGCACACCCTCAGCATGATGTCAGCGACAAGAGAATAAACAATGGTTTGAGGTGAAGGTTTTCTACCGGTAAATATGCCTTTAAATATGCCCCTAAAGACGATTCAGTTATTACTGATTCAAAATAACATGTCTACAAATGTGTCCCTTACTGTCTGACGAGTTTATTTCAACAGTAGCCTATTACTGTCTGCAACTACTGGGATTTCCACTACTACTACTACCACTATTCCTATAAATAAATATGATAATCACAATGATAATCGCAGTGACGACAACAACAACAACAACAACAATAATAATAATAGTAATGGGCGTAATTAGGCAGCTCCTCATAAGTGTGTATTCGCAGGATCTTCCATGTTATCTCAAATAATTTCTCTCAACGCTTCATTGAAATATGAATAAGTAAATGTTGAGATGATCGCATGCACTCACCTCCCGCAGCTCCTCTCGCGGTGACCGGGTTCTGTCTCTCTCGGTGACCGTGTTCTGTCTGCAGACTTAACTTTCGTTTCCCATGCTTTGCGTCACAGCTTCAGATGACAGGCATGCGCTCTGTGGACGCGCATCACTCCTCTTCCTCATGTGAACAACAGCTTGTGAATCTGCATACTGTGTTTCAGGAAATGTGTCTTTGGCACTGTTGCCAAGATTAAATAAGCGGAGGCGGGGTTGTGGAGAAACCTCTGAAGTTGGGCCGGATGTTTTCGAGATCTTCTCAACACCAAGTTAACACATCATTTACATTCAAAACAATTAACAGAGTCAAAAGAGTTCCAATAGAATATAGTTTACTGAAGATTCAGCAAACATGAGTCAGTTCATGAAGTGACTTATACACATCTCTTATCAGTTGTTTCGCCTTCTTATATGTCTGTGTGTTTGTGTGTGTGTGTGTGTGTGTGTGTGTGTGTGTGTGTGTGTGTGTGTGTGTGTGTGTAACAGTAACAATCTAATTAGTGGAATATGGGATGGTCTCAGGTACCAGACACCAGGAGAGTCTCAGGCTTTGATCTTGACTTTCTCCATTACGTAAGACACCATCATTTCTTCCACCATCCTGAATTCCCCTACTCAATCATATTTGTTGGACATTTCCGCCTAGGTCTTTTTTAATAATGTCTCGAGCATGCCTATCCTTAGCTGCCAACTCCATCTCTCATAATCTCCATACCTTAGTTTTACACCATTATCTACACCAGTTTCTGTCTTTGGACTCAAGGATTCCATCAGCAGGACATCTCACAGATAAACAGTTAGAGCTTTCAATGGATAGGGTTGTTATATAATCTGTCCCATACTCTCAAAAGATATCACACAGTGGGAGAAGTACTCCGATCTTGTACTTTAGTAAAAGTAGAAGTACCAGAGGGTAGGAATACTACAAGTAAAAGTTGTGCATTGCAAATGTTACTCAAGTAAAAGTAGAAAAGTATTAGCATAAACATATATGCAGATTGGTCCATTTCAGAATAATACATATGATGTGTTTTATATTCACAGTTTACCTCTGAACTGCAGTGGAGTATAGCATAAAATGTAAATACTCAAGTACTCAAAATTGTACTTAAAAACAGTACTTGAGTAAATGTACTTAGTTACTTCTCTGCTCTGAAATTCAGATTCAGATTACTTTATTGTCCGTTACATTTACATAAATGGAAATGTGTCTTTGGCACTGGCAAATAGGCTAACACAGGACAACATTCAGACACACAAAGAGTGGTTTGTTCTTCCATGGCTTGGGTCCATTCAAATATCAGTTGAATGAAAAATAAATAATTAACTATACATTACAATGATTATGTGATGGTGTTGGTGAGAGAAGGATCCTTGAAAAGGGATTAAAAAGCAGGAAACACAACACCTAACATTCCCTATTTTCTCTGACAGGGAAAAAAGGATTGA